GTCTAATCCTACTTAAAGCCATCACTTCAACAATTCTCTCCTCATTCTTTAATTATTGATTTTCTCTCTATAATACATCTTTCTCCATCAATATAGAAAGTTAATAACATTTCTCTAATTTTATTCTTGACTATGTTTCCCTTCCAGCTCTTATCCCAGTTCTCTAGTTCCTTTTGCATTCCAACTCCTTAAAAGAGCTGTCTATGTTTACTAGTTCTAATTCTTTCCTCCCATTTTGTCTTTAACTCACTCCTACTCAAACATTATCACTGCACAGTTCTGTCCTTGTCAAGGTCAATAATGACCGCAATTTTTAAAATAGTGGTCTCAGTCCTCTTATTTTTTTATTTTTATTGTTTTAATCCTCATCCAAGGGTATTTTTCTTTTTCATTGATTTTTAGACAAAGTGGAAGGAAGAGGAGAGACAGAGAGAGAAACTGTTGTGAGAGACATACATTGATTGGTTGCCTTCTACACGCATGCTCCTACTGAGACCAGGAATCAAGCCTGCAACTGAGGTATTTACCCTTGACCAGAATCGAACCCTGGACCCTTTAGTCCATGTGGCTGAGGCTCCAACCACTGAGAAAACTGGCTAGGGCTTGGTTCTCTTACTCATCGATTTGTCATCAATACTTTATATAGTTGACCATTTCCCCCCTTTTGAGCTACTTTTTTACTTGACTGCAGTGGTTTTTTTCTCCTACCTCACAGACACTGCTTACTTGTCTCTTTCGCTAGTTTTTCCTTATCACGTAATCTGTATTAGGAATTAATTTTTGGTGCTCTTTAAACATATTCACCCTTTTAAAAAAAGTATCATTTAACTTCAGAGCTTTAAATCTGATTATAATAATGCTGATTAACAAATGTATATCTCCACTGTGGACCTTTTTTTTCAAGTTTCGACTCTTGCCTTAAAGTCCTATTCACAATTTTAACCCTTCTCCTGTCTTAAAAAATGCCCAGCCTTTAAGAGAAGACTGTGATATCACTGATGTGTCTCCCCAGAGATCTTATTTAAAAATTCACCTCTACTTTTAGCAGCTGGGACCACTGGTGCTCTGAGCCAACCACAGCCTCTCTGGGCCAAAAATCTTTCAGAGGGTGGAGATAAGTGGGAGCAAATCTCAGATCTAGGAACTATGCTACTTGTGCTGGATCAAGTGTTTTCTAGTTCTACTGACCACTGTGGCTGTGGTGAGTATTGAATGAATATGAACAGAAAACTAAGGTTACAGACAGTTCTGTCAAGCTAGGAGCAGAAGTAGGAGAAGATAGAGAGGGGTGACAATCACACAAAGATTTGACCTTGGCTATTCTGGAGATCATCTCACATTATCCTCAGCTTTCTATTTTAGGAGGTACAGTTTCTTGAACGGCTTAGGTATTTAACTATCTTTATTTCATACCCAAACTTGTCATCAATATGTTCTTATTTTCTGTGTATCTGAATTCTTTCTGCTACGGTTAGAGATTTTAGTCTCTTGTCATTTTCCTTATGGTTTCAAGACAAGCCAGTCAAATAGATCTCCAGGAACAGCTTTCCTTAAAAATACTGATGAGGTCATTTTTTTAAAGACTAACTGCATCTTATTCTCACTTATATTCGTCAGACCAGCCAGATGAAAGTTAAAGTACATATATGTTAGGGAGTGACCTCGTTCTTGAGTACCTAAGACCTTCACAGTGCCCTGAGAAAGACTGGAGGGTCAGGAAACTCATCTGATTTCCAGTTTCCCTAGTGACTGAATACAACTTGAACCCTCCAAATCTAATTCCCTAATTTCCTTCTGTAATTTCACATGCAGAAAACTTAGAAACCTCTAAGCTGTGATTTCTTGCTTCAATAAACCCCAGGTTCTGTGTACCTTTTCCAGGGCAAAATCAGTGACTGCCCAGTGAACAGCCTAATAGATGTTTTTTCTTTAACAGTAATAAGATAAACATTTCTTCATTCTTAGTGGCAGCACAGACTCATGCCTATGACTTCTTTTATGGAGTCTCCATCTCTGAGTAGGCAGCTTATATAATTTTTTTTCATAGTGTGCATGTCAGTGTAACATTTTAACACATATATTAGAGATTATTTGACATTATTATTATGTTATATTATGTCTTAACATTATTATATTATGTCTTCTTATTAAATGAGTTTAATATATCATGGAACATGTATGTTCTTACTCTTCAGTATATAGCATATATCTAGAAGAATTCCTGGTACATATTAGACGCTCAATAAAGTTTTTTTGACAAAGTAATTAAATAAAAGAGCAGCATAACAAAGAATAATAATGTTCACAAAATAGAAGCCTAAGACATTGAAAGGGAATCATGCTTGTTTAATGTGGAATTTTTAGAGACATTGACTAATGAAAGGAAAATATTCTCAGACTCAGAGTGTCTAATGTTGAGAATGGCTCCCTCAAAAGCACACATACTCTCTGTCACTAGATTTGAATAAGCAACTGCCAGGTGCCCACTTTTCAAGATATTACAGGTTAGGAGTCAAGCATCACATAATTATTGAACTATATATACCTTGTAACTCGTTTTCCAATTTATGAACATATTATATTCCATTGATTTATATATATATGGTGTCCCCAAAATATATACATACTTTAACAGCCGATAGCTCAAGTTTGAAAATGAAATGTATTTTAATAAACACTGCCTTTATAATTATTATTCAAAGTGTGTATATACATTTTTGGGGACACCCTATATTGTTTAAAATTCTTAGGAATTTCCAGGATAGAAGTAAAAAAGTATTTATACTTTTCCACCATAAGCATTGATATGTTTACAATAAATCTTATTTTTCTGTTATAACTCGATTTTTGAATTTTTAAGGATATACAAAATTACACTAGGATTGGCACTAAGCTCTACTGTTTGGCTTTAAAATTAAAAAAATAATAATTTTATTGGTAATTAATATTTATAATTACATTATTATCTATATTATTTATAGGTACAATAACTGTTGACTTAAAGTAGTAAACTTGCATTAATATATGAGAAATACATGCAATATTGCAATTAATAAACAAAATGATTTGGTCTCTTAATAATGCAGTTGTAGATGAATAGGGGATTGAAGGAAAATATTCTTTTTAATTATTATATTGTTTTTTATATTATTTTAGGTGTTTCCATATTCAAAAACTTTTTAGATGACAGCAAATGAACTTAACATTGATGTCTCTTCTAAACACTAGGGTGTTTGAGTCACAAAGACTGAACTTCAATAGATAAGAATGATGATTCTGACTTCACCTACTAGAATCTCTCAAGGTAAGATGACTCCAAGGAAAAAATAGTTCTTTATCTATTTTCTTCTTTCCTATTGGCATAATCTTAAATTCATTGACTAGTCACTCCAAGAACTGATATAACTCACCACTATGCTTCCCTTCCCATGGCACACTTCATCTTGAAGTTTTCCTGGAGCACATACCTGTGTAGCTCCTGGCCTGACCTGTCATATCAGGGCTCACATTTTAAAGTAGACAAAAGAGACACAGAAGTTAATGTTTATAATCAAACTAATGCATGTGCCAATCAAGAAAACAAAAAATGTATAGATTAGATTAGATTAGGTTAGGTTAGATTAGAATTGTATTAAAGACCTTATAAAGGAGCACATCTTGGAGTATATTGAGTGAAAAAAACACAATGGGCATTGTAGCTCCATGAGAGAAGATCCAAAAGGAAGGCTCCTAAGAAGAAACACCATTTGCAACCATGGTCATTTATCCAAAAAAGTTAAAAATATTTTCAAATGTAGCATTCAATCCTTTGTTCATGTACTTGTCACACATTACTTATTGCCCTAGGTATAAAAGGCATTGATGCTGAATATAGAGAAATAGATGAGATGCAGAGATTTCATAGTGTAATGGGCAAGAAATATACATATAATTTTAAAACAAGTCTATATTTCCTAAGGAGAGTATGCTGAAGATGTATGATTCTTACACCACAGCAGAAGCAATCTTAGAAGGGCTTCATAGAGGAAGATTACTCAGCTGGGTTTGAACGATTGTTAGTACCTTGGCAGGTGACCAACTGGGAACAGCCATTTTGGGCAAAAAAACAAACCATCATATGAAAATGCATGCAGATATGACAAAACATGCCTTAGGATATTTAAAAATGTCCAAAATTAGATATGATTTACATATGGTTGGAACATGAAGCATATAGTAGAATGTGGTGATAACTAATGCTAGGTAATTGGCAAAGAGCAAGAAAAAGATCAAGAAGAGCTTTGCATGCCATTTTGTAAAAACACTAGTGGGAAACAATTTTCATGCTCAAATAGGTAGTGTGAGTACAGCGTGATACAGAAACCATTAGCAAAGATGTGGGTCAGCATAGAGAAATGACAAGTGCTTGTGAAGTCCCAGGGTTAGTGAAATGGAAAAGAGTAGAATATGGTTACCAGTGGAAATCAGACCATAGAAGGCTGTTCACAGAGAGGTGCAGCAGTTTACAGCAATCCCACAGGAGGGAGCTGAAAGAATAAAATCTCTGACCTTCTTCCATTCTCCTGTTGGTGTTTCTTATTGCCAAATCCAACCAGAAGAAAGAGAGTAGGGGAGTCTGTTGATGTGGCCCAGTGTCCCAAGGCCCAGACATAATGGAAAGTGGTGGAGTGTAGACCAGAGGAGGCCAATGCAAAATATACTGCATTGCGTACACTAAGAAATTTGCATTTTGGCTGACTGTATTCACATGCTAAAATATTTAGGCAGCAATATAGAGGCGTCACTGGAAGATAGAAATCCTGAAAGTGGGCATATTAGTTATATAGCTATTTTAATAACCCAGGCAAAAAAAGAAGAAGGCATCAATTATAATAGAATTGGTGGGAATGAAAGGCAAGAAATTGAATAAACATGTAGGAAAAATAAGTGGCATTGAGATGACTTTCTTTCATTTTCTAACCACTTTTAGGAAGAGAAAGCCTTCTGTTCTCTGCATCATTATGATCTCTGCATCTGCCTCCAATGACACTGCCTTCCACCCTTCCACATTTATTCTTCTTGGAATCCCTGGGATGCAAGACCAGCATGTTTGGGTTGCCATCCCCTTCTGCTCCATGTATATACTTGCTCTGATTGGCAATAGTACCATCCTGTACATCATTCTGACAGAAAGAACTCTACATGAGCCAATGTACCTCTTCCTGTGTCTACTTTCCATCACTGATCTGGTACTCTGTTCGACCACATTGCCCAAAATGCTGACTATCTTTTGGCTTAGGTCCCACATAATTTCCTACCATGGCTGCCTCACCCAGATGTTTTTTGTTCACACTGTCTTTGCCACCGAGTCTGCTGTTCTGCTGGCCATGGCTTTTGACCGCTATGTGGCTATCTGCCGTCCACTTCATTATACATCCATCCTCAATGCCACAGTGATCGGGAAGATTGGGCTGGCATGCGTGGCCCGTGGCCTTCTCTTTGTTTTCCCCTTTATCATCCTCATAGAACGCTTACCTTTCTGCGGACATCACATCATCCCCCACACCTACTGTGAGCACATGGGCATTGCCAAGCTGGCCTGTGCCAGCATCAAGCCCAACACCATTTATGGTCTCACTGTGGCACTTTCAGTCACTGGCATGGATGTGATCCTCATCGCCACTTCGTATGGCTTGATCCTGCAGGCTGTGCTGCGTCTACCCTCCAAGGATGCCCAGTTCCGAGCATTTAGCACCTGTGGAGCCCACATTTGTGTGATTCTAGTCTTCTATATCCCTGCCTTTTTTTCTTTTTTCACCCACCGCTTTGGCCACCAAGTACCTCCTCATGTCCACATTGTACTTGCAAATCTCTATCTCCTATTGCCCCCTGTTCTCAATCCCCTGGTCTATGGCATTAACACTAAACAGATCCGCCTGAGACTATTTAGCTTTTTTACGTGGAGGAGGTAACTATACTCTTTCCATACCCCAAAGACCAAGGGAAAAAGTTATAATTAATCTCCCACCTTCTCCAGCACCTCCTTTCCTTGGACTAGAGGTTGCTGCTTCTGTTAATCCAAGCCAGACAGTATCATATGTTACCTGAGAGTTTTTGAAGTATTTAGAACAACTTATTTATACCTGACCTATCAACAGAATACTATTTTCCTGTAAACCTATTATATGACCCATAAACTAGCCTGTGGATCTTGAATCCTCTTAAGGGAAGGTCAATAGGCAATGCAGTACATTTAAAAGTAAGAGCCAAAAATATTTATTCTCTCAATGTACAGAAATCTCATTTTCTAGAAGTAGAGAAAAAGTGGTCATAAAAGAACTATTTACTTATAGCTTCAAGAAATTTAGAATACATACATACAACACATTGATTGATTGATTGCTAGCACTTTCTTATACCAAGTGCATTTACAGTGAGACTGTCATCCCTAGATGAGAGATGTCTGTGAGACTCCATGATCCTCTGGATCCAGGTTTAGGTTTAAAATAGATGAAGATGATTCCTGGGTGTCTTACTGTGAAGCACAGGTACCAATGGGAAAACCATAGCACAACTTTCTAAAGGAATGACTACAAAGATGAGCCTTGTAACTAATTACCTCATGACAAATGACCTTTGCATTTTTTATGATATTAAAAGAGTGATGAGCTTCACGTGTGGATTATTTTTTGGCCCATTGTGAACTCAGTCTGACCTTTTGTTTACCCCACAAAGTTATCAGCTCTTTGGGTATATTAGAATTTCCTGAACACAGCGTTTCTTGATATTGTTATTTAGGGTATCCTAGGAAAGTCAGTGTTGGCCTTTGTGCTCTAGCAAAGCTACTTTTGACAAGAGCTGGGTTTTTTGTATGTTTGCTTATTTGTTTTGGACACCTTGAAAGAAATAAAAGCAAATAATAAGTCTATCCCCTACACAATACATTAATCTTCTGAATTTCATAGGTGAATAAGGCACCGTACCCAATCAGAAAACTCACAATCTAGGGAGAGAAGAAGGTAATTATAATAAAATATGGTATTTACAGCGACAAGGAGTAAAAAGGTATTGGAGCAAAGATAAAAATGTTTATGTTAAGAAACTTTTATTTTTTTCTTACAGTGAGGTAATCATTATTGTCTGATCCACCTTGATTTTAGGCTCTCTTTCCATGATCTGAGGCAAGAAGCTACAACCTGTCCATAAATTGAGAGTATATTTTTGGTTGTTCCCTGTCATTATCATCCTTAACGACCATCTCAGGACAGAGAGAAAAGATGATTGTGACCAAGATTTCTGCCTGTTATTAGAGCATGCTATTATTTCTGCAGGGGGAGCTCTGTGGCTGTGTCCATAAAAGCAGGTGTATCTGTGCTTGCCTCTTTATGGCCCTTTCTGTTGATGTATTTATTGTCCTAGGCCATTTATTCTGCCACTTATTTCCTCTGCCACTGCTTCTTTCTTACTGACACCTAACTCTGAACAAAGTCCCTACAGGGCCTGTCTGGGCAGAACTTGTATGACAACAGGATTTAGAATCTGGCTCTAAGTCCTGCTTCTGTTTAGTGTTTGCATAATTTTGTGATTGTTTTACTCTGCCTTCTACATTTTGAATAAACTTAGCAAAATACTGTTTGACAAACTTTAATCACTTAATTCCTCTGAACTAACCAGAAAAAAAATAAAAGCAACATCTGGCCCCAGAAGTTGAGGAGATGCTGGGGTCTGAGGGGCTTGAGGTGGGGTCAGTGTGAATTGAAAATGGGCTGGGAAATGTCAGGGGCAAAACCATTGGCCTGGGGAAAAAGTTAGAGCCTGAAAATCAGAAAGAGGCTAGCAATAGCTAGACCTTGAGGCTAAGAACAGCATGGGTTGTACCTCTGATGCCTCCATGAACATGATTACTCTGTGGAGTTATCCACTTAATGGGTTAAGTGAAGTTAATCCATTCCTGGCTCTCACTTGGGAATGAGGGCCTCTGAAATACACAAACTACCAGACCCTGAACAGGTTACATACCCAGGTGTACTTTCACCCTCTCTCTCCTCAGGTTCCTCAGGACTGGCAAAGTCTGGAACATTCTTGGAATCACGAAAGTCCAACCTTATCCTCTGGGAGCTCAGGACAACCTCCAGGGCCAATCTTATACATAATTGTAGTCGTATCTTGTGTGTGTGTTTGGGGAAGGAGGGAGTAGCAAAGAGATAATTCTGGGCACCCTGGGAGCCCTTACTTAGGTTACTTAAAGGGCCACTTCATGGATTCTGGGTACCTAAAACTGAGGAGAAGAGAGATGCCAGGCCATTAGTGTGCTCTCCAAGCGCCACATGAATATTTGCTAAGATATACTTACACACATGTGGACACACCTACACACCCACTTTTGAAGGTGTCTGATACCAGTTTCCCCCTCTCACATCACCTCACTCACATTCAGGTAAGTAGTTCTAGGTGGGGGTGGGCTTTGTATTCACATTCCGATAGCCTAGTCTCTGAAGTTCAGGAGCTCAAAACCCCACCACCTGCTTAATTGCAGTCATCATTGCACAGTTCATAAAAAAAAGGTCTTCAAAAGTCCCCTATCTTCTCCAAATGTATACTATTTAATTTGTGGATGAACAATTTTATTATAAACTTTTTAGGTTATCTTATTTTATGAAAACTCTTGTTGACCTTTTAGATCTTTGGCTGCTGAGAGGCATATGTAATATTTTGTCAATTGCTTTTTGTATTTTTATCCATTTTTGTTTTATGTACTTCAAGTTATATTCTTTAAGAGGATACACTTTCATTTATTAATATATACTTATATATGTAATGTTGATTTTGTTCATGAATAATGAATCCATTTGTCCTCAATAAAACATTATCAAAATACATTGTCTCAGATATTAATGTTGTAATAGCGTGTTTTACTACTATGATACTGTAGTATATGCTATCACGATTTCAGATTTATTTTTATGTACGTTAATATTCCAATTCTTGTTTTCCACTTTGAAAATCTTCACTTTTGCTTAAACTGATACTGATGCAGTTTCTTCCTTGTTCCTCTCAGGTTCTTCATCAGGGTTCTACCATGACTATTTGCAATACCTCCCAGGGCCATCCTTCTTTCTTCATTCTGCAAGGCATTCCTGGGATGGAGGACAAACACAGATGGATATCTATCCCCTTCTCATCCATGTACTTCCTCACCATCCTTGGGAACTGCACCATCCTCTTCACCATCTCCACAGAGCGCTCCCTGCACAAGCCCATGTTCCTGCTCCTCTGCATGTTGGCCCTCACAGACCTAGGCATGTCCACAACCACCATTCCCAAGGTGCTCTGCATCTTCTGGTTTGGCCTGAGCAAGATCAGTTATGAGGGCTGCCTGGTCCAGCTGTTTTTCATCCACTCCATCTCTGCTTTGCAGTCTGCCATCCTAATGAGCATGGCCTTTGACCGCTATGTGGCCATCTGTGAGCCCCTGCGCTATGCCACCATCCTGTCCAATAGTCGCATTGGGCTCATTGGCCTAGTAAGTTTAGTGAGAGCCATCCTGTTCATTATGCCGATGCCCATCCTCCTTCAGAAAATGCCCTTTCATGCCAATCGTGTCATCCCCACCACCTACTGTGAGCACATGGCTGTAGTGAAGATGGTGTGTGTGGACACCACAGTCAACAGGATATACGGTCTGGTGGTGGCCTTGTTGGTTGTTGGGCTAGACATCTCAGCTATTGCCTCATCCTATGTGCTAATCATCCGGGCTGTACTGCGGCTCTCTTCTAAGGAAGCCCACCACAAAGCAGTTAACACCTGCACCACACACATCTGTGTCATGCTTATTTCTTACACTCCCTCGCTTTTCTCTTTTCTCACTCACCGCTTTGGTCGGGGCATTCCACCCCACATCCACACCATTCTAGGCAACCTCTACTTCCTTGTACCTCCAATGCTCAATCCTATTATTTATGGAGTGAAAACCAAGGAGTTTCAGGAAAAAGTGACCAAACACATATGCTGGAGGAAGGAGCCCATAACCATTACCCAGGGTCGGAATCCTGACTGATCATCCAGCATGGTAGGTCTGAGAGAAACAGGTTAAGTAGATTCAATTCCTTGGAGACTTGGCTAGTAATAGAAATTGTCATATTGACAGATTAGCTGCCTGAATCACTTGAATATGATGCTAAGACACAAGAGACTACTTGCTCGCACTGATTCCAATGCCAGGCAATTATGAAAGGAAAGTAATGACATCTGCTCTCCATACCTGACATGGGAGTTGGAAAAATTATATGTGATAATCTATGTAAAAGCACTTTAAACAGCAACACACACAAAACACATGTAAAATGTTGTCTTACAGACAGAACATAAGAACAAACAATAACTTGCCCACTACTTAGCACAGGCAAGTGTGGTTGTGTGTCTGTTTGGGTGTGTATTTGTATTTGTGTGCTTAAGGGGAGGTGGGAAGTGAAGATTATGTATGGGGAATGAGAAGGTACATGGAAAGTACAAAACTATTTCTAAACTCTTTTTTTTTTATTATCCCTGCTGTCAGAGCCTTACATTTGGGCAACATGACTTGTTGCTTTCTTGTAAACTAGAGAATATGGACAAGAAACATAATCTCTAATTTCCAAAGAAATTTCAGAAGAAAAAGAAAAATGGAAAGCTCCTAAGCTTATAAGATTAATATGCATTTTAAACTAATTTCCCACTTGTAAAAACTCCTAGGGTCAACTGTCCTGCTTGTCTCAACTAATTCCAGTGTTTGAGAGAATCGCTTACAGAGACAATTCTGAGAATGTTCTGTTAGTGGTTATAATTACAAAAGTCAGATTTATACTGGAAATATTTGGCTACAGACCTCTGCAAGGCAATTTCTCTGAGAGCCCAGAAAGAAGTAAGAGTAAGTACTTGGAACAGCTTGTGCAATTCAGATCCTGTGCCCGATATGGGATTTCATTAAGTTCAG